TAAGGGGAAGTTCCAAAGCCAAAAGTCACTCAATGAGCTCTTCGCAAAGCTGAGCATAACGAAGTACAACATTCGTTATGCCAGAAACTCCACAATCATCTATTGCGAGCTTATCCAGGACTGGCAGACTCTGCTTCGCAACTTCGAAGCCGAAGACATGGAGCACCACACGTACGCTGAGAAGACGACCAAAGGGCATGCTTTTGTTCTCCGAGGACTTGAGGGCGATGTCACCATCCAGGAGCTGATTGAGGACTTAAAAAGCCAATACCAGATCACGGCCAAAAATATATTCAGGATGAAAACCAAGTACGAGGCCATGTACTTGGTCATCCTGGATGCCAAATACACCCTCAAGATCCTCAATCAGCAAGTTAAGGTGATATCCAATGTCCGAGTCTACTGGGAGAACAGGAAATCGGAAAAGCCAGTCATGCAATGCCGGAGATGCCAAGGTCTGGGACACGCTGCAACTTATTGCAAAAGGGCCGTAAAATGCAGCAAATGTGCAGAAACGCACGAAATTACGGCCTGCAAAAGTGATTACATCAAGTGTGCCAATTGCGGGGGAGAACACCGCAGTATCGACGAGAACTGCCCGGTCTACATTTATAAGATCAGGCAGTTAGAACCCCGCAAGAGGTACGTCCCAGCACCGCCACCAAAAACCCCGGCATGGCAGAACAGAGCGTACGTGTCTGCCGATCGCCCACAAACCGCCGACCGCCCTCAAACCTCCACTGCGTCTGCTGGGAGCCTGGTACCTCGGCTGATGCCCGAGAGGTACGACTCGGATTTCCCGGCGCGTCGACCGAAACCCACCTCTAGGGCTCAGGCCCAACCCCCCAGAACAAATTTCAATATGCCAGGAGCGGTAAGTGACAGCCAGGCTGATTTCCTGAAACTGGCCACTACGATGAGTGAGCTTAACTCACTCGTCAACATCACTGAATTACTGAAGGCATTAAACACTTACATCTCGCTCCTTAAGCAATGCAATGGTGACAAGGCTCAAATCCTGCAAGTCACCATGCAATTCTTCTCAACAGAAATTCACAGTTTCGACTTTTGAATGTTCTTAATACTAAGTTGGAACTGTAATGGTGTCAAATCCAAATTGGGTGACTTATATCAGACCATAAACCATTACAGTCCCAAAATAGTCTTTTTAAACGAGACTAAACTGCGGCCAAACGACAAACTCAAACACAAACATTACAGCACAGAACGAGCTGATAGGGTCCAAAATAGGGGAGGGGGTGTTGCCTGCCTGATACACAAGTCGGTGCGATACAGACGCATTGACACTTTGGTGACAAATATAGAACATATCACCATAGAGTTGGACAATAACCTCTGGATTTCCGGGGGCTATGCCCCACCTAACGCCATAAGGTCAGCCAACGACGTTGGGGTCTTTTTCCCCAGGAACATTAGAGCGTTGCTGGTGGGAGACCTCAACGCCAAACATACAAGTTGGCTGAACAATAGCAATAATTGGGTAGGCAACACCCTCTTCAGTTTCCTAATGAATAACAGGAATGTGCAAATTCACCACCCCAACAACCCCACCCACTTTCCCGGCTCCGGCCAAACCCCTTCCGTAATCGACTTTGCACTTTCCAAAGGGCTTACAAACATCGACGTGAAAACTAGGGACCTTCTCGGCTCAGACCACCTACCGATCTTCCTGTACTGGAAAAACCCTCCAATACTAGAAGAATCCAAGGTATACTCGTACAGGAATTTCAATTGGCCAAGGTACAAACAAAAACTAAACGACATAACAGTCATCCCTGATCCTATCTCTAGCATTCCCGAACTGGAGAGGCAAGTCGACATACTTTCAAAAAATATTCAATCCGTTAGGGACCAACTGGCCCCCAAAATCACCCCCAAACATAGGACAGACACACTACCAGAATCCATTGTGGCACTCATCAAAGAACGCAACAGGGTAAAAAGAGCATGTCAGAGGCGCCCCAACCCCCTAGACCGGGAGATTCTAAAGCTAATGAACAGCGAAATAGAGAGAGACATACGAAATCACAGAAATAAATCCTGGATGAAGTATGTCTCTACTCTGGAAGCAAAGGATAATTCCCTGTGGAAGCTGGCGAAGAATCTTAGGCGACCAGGATCGCAGCAAGCGAATCTGGTAGTCGGAGGCGCCAGCTACTACAGGGACCAAGACAAAGCCGAAATATTCGCCGACCATTTTGCATCGGTCTTCGAAGAGTCTCTCGATCTAAACGCAGAACAGCGCAACATATCGGGGGTGACGGACGCCTTTGCCATGCAAAAATACCCCATCCCACCCAGAGTGCTACAGCGGATTCTAACAAGCCCAGCCGAACTGCGTAGCTTAATTAAAAAGCTACCCAACAGAAAGGCCCCCGGACCAGACACTATAAATAACACGTTAATTGAAAATTTGCCGAGGAAAGCAATAATACATTTGCTTCACATTTGCAACGGGATCATGTTGCTGCAACATTTTCCAACACCCTGGAAACACGCAAATATTATTGTTTTCCTCAAACCAGGCAAAGACATAACAAAACCACAATCGTACAGACCGATATCCCTACTCAACTCACTGGGCAAAGTTGCAGAACGCCTCATACTCAGCAGAATCGCAGGCGCCATCAACACCCTTCAGTGCCTACCCCCGGAACAATTTGGCTTCAGGCAGAAACACTCCACGACGCTAGCAGTAGCGAAGGTGGCTCAAGATGCTATTGCATCATTCAACAACAGAGAGAGCACCTTCCTACTGCTCCTCGACATCGAGAAGGCCTTCGATAAGGTATGGCACAAGGGCCTTATCTATAAGATGTTGACAACACACAACCTACCCCTCCACTTTGTATCCCTTATAACATCCTACCTAAGTAATAGATCCTTCGCCATTAGAATAAACAGCTACCTCTCCCAAACTAAACCCATTAAAGCTGGAGTCCCACAAGGCACAGTCCTCTCCCCAACCCTCTTCAACCTCTACATAGCGGACCTACCCAAAAACCCCAACACGAGCATAATGATGTACGCCGATGATACGGCAGTGTACACCAGCGCCTTTTTCGCAGAAGATGCGAAAAGGGCGCTGGAAAGCCACATGGAACAGATCACGCCGTATCTGGAGAGGTGGAAAATAACCCTAAACGCCACCAAAACGGAGCTGCTCACACTAACTAGGAAACGGACGAACATCATTATGAATCCTCCCCTGTCAATCGGCGGCACGGAAATCGCCCCAAAAACATCGGCAAAATACCTGGGGATAGTCCTGGACAAAACGCTCCGGGGCTACCCGCAGGTAGCACACTCTATCAAAAAAGGCCATGCCGCCGAAAGACTCCTTACCCCTATAATGAAGCCAAACTCCTTCCTCAGTCCCAAAAACCGTGTTGTCATCTACAAACAAATCATCAGGCCAACCCTGCTGTATGGGGCACCCGCCTGGAATTACATCTGCAACACCCAAAAACTTAAACTTCAACGGTACCAAAACAGGGTGCTCAAGACCGCCCTTTCACTGCCCTGGGATACAAGGACAGTGGAAGTACACAGACTGGCGGAATTAGACACCATCCTGGAATATTTCAACGAAGTTTCGTTGAAATTTTTCCGGGAGACAGCGCAAGGACCTGACATAACCAAAAATCTTGCCTCCCTCAAATTCAACCCTGAAAATCCCGCAACACATCGGCCCATACACCACCGACTACCAATATACTACGACCTGCCTTGATCAGGAAAGCAGAGACTGCAGAAGTTTAGCGCTTCACGCTAAATTTAACGGACGGCAGCGCCAAAACTATCACCAAAGCTCACACTATCACCTTATCAGCCGACCACTAGTGCACCGGATTTCACCGGGTGCCCGCAATTGGTCATGAAGCGAGAATAGGACGCGGCTCGAATGGAGCCAAGGAACCGTAAATTACTCTCTGCTGTCCTGATACAAGCGCCTTAGCGCTATGACGTTTACACACACCAAAGAAACGTGAAAAAGGGTTTTTGATAATTTTTCCCTTTATCAATGACAGGGCAAATACGGAATGACTGACTAAAAAATAAAAGTACAGGAACACGAACAAAGGTCGAAACTAGAATTGAGCTATAAGGGGCATTAATGCCTCAGTAAAGTTTCAGATCAGCTTGGCTGTCGCTACTACCCCTAATTTGTACCTGGTTGGAGGCCAATGTGAATAGCTCTATGTATTGTAAATATTATTTATATTTATGTAGTTAATTGTCTATTTATGTTGAAATTTATAAGGTAATTAGGTTAAGGTAGCTTAAGTAATTTGTAAATATTGTAAATAAAGAAATTAATTGGAAAAAGTATTGCCTATGTTTCCTGGTGACCTACTGGTGGTGCGTTGGTGTCGATGACCTAGGAGTACCCTGGACACTGCTAATTAAATAATTTTTGTAATGATTTAGGGCTTTTTTATGTATAAATTTTGACTTTAGACAAACGTGTATAATTCGAAATTAAATCTACGATGATCCAAATAGATTTGATTTTCCTCAAAATAACAAAAACTTTTTAAATTAAAAATCAAAATTCAGCAGGTGACAAAATATATTTTATGTCCGATTAACCAATAAAGTGCTATTTATAGAACAGTTTTGCGTCAATAAAGTAGCACTTTATTGTACTAGTAAAATAAAGTGCTACTTTATTGCCTACCTAAACTGCCTGACAAGGTGAAACAGGTCCTGACAACCTTTCAAGGTTAAACAGGTCTTGACAACCTGCCAAGGTGAAACAGGTATACCTATGTGAATTTTACTTTTTTCATTAAATTTTTTCAATTTTCAACAAAAACCAGTCGTAATCGTACATAAAATCATGTATATAACGCTTACATAAACAGGCTTTATTCACTCATTATTTAATAGCCTCTCTCGCAAGCTCGCTCGGCCATAACATTATTCGTACAATAAAGCCTTACTTTATGTACTTGTTATATAAATAGCTATTACAGGTAGACATGCTTCAACAATTTGGATACCCAGTCGAAACTCACCAAGTCAGCACTGAAGACGGATACGAACTGACCCTTCACAGAATACCTTACGGCAAATCGGCCGAAGGAAAGACACCAGCCAAAAAACCTATCCTACTAGTACACGGTCTGCTATGCAGTTCGGCAGATTGGATCGTTACTGGAGAACATTCTTTGGGTTTACAATTGGCCAATGCAGGATACGACGTATGGATGGGTAACAATAGAGGCAACACGTATTCTCGTAAACATAAAAAGTTGAGTCCGGATTCGGATGGTGAGAGTTTCTTTTCATTCAGGTAAGATTCACACGGAATGAAATTGTATTATGAAATGATACACAAGAGATTATTAGCCCTAGCCGCCCCATAATAATTTTAAAACTTGGGATCCCAGAACAGGGTCAAAATGGACCCAGATACAATCCTTTTTTATTCGAGTGATTTTGAATACAACATTTTGGGAATCATGATAAAACATGTTTTTGTATTATGCTTTAATTTCATTATGTAAAAAAAAACAAAACAATAAACTTTCTATTCATAAGATAAGTGAATAGTAAACTGAAAGACAAAGCTAGAAATTCCGAAAACAGGTAAGAAAAGCTTTTCACGACTTGTCGAGTTGGAGGGTCCCAGCGCATACCAAGTTATCCCAAAACCGGTTCATTGGTGACTCATAGAAAGTTTTCTGGGGAAAAATTGTTTTTTTGAAAAAATTATACAAAAGACAATTTGTCAGTAATTCTAGACTTAAAATGTACTATAAAGATGATTTTTAAGTTGGCCTCCCACTTTACTTTCTGTGCTCATCAAATGTGAGGGGGCCAACGTTTAATTTCAAAAAATACATTTTGACAAAAGCACAATTTGTTGTCAGCAACCCATTCACTATGCCCGAAAAATACCTACTTTTATTACCAATTTCAGACGCATTGTTGTGCTCGAAACCATAAAAATAATCATAAAATCTTTATTTATAAGTTTATTTGTTCGCTATATTATGAATACCACGCCGAAGTTCATATATTGTGTTACAACTTTGTAATACTATTTCCAACAGAACTATAAAATAGTTTGGTAAATAGGAATGCAAGATGTTTGTTTGCGGGTACCTATTTTTAGAAACGTATCTTTTTTTCAATGTTTTTGCCATAATTTATTTGGGTTTTCTTAAAATTGTGATTACGCTCTAGATAACAATCAAAATTTTCGCCGTTTATTTAATATACCTACCTCGTTTCATTTTACTAGGCACTTCACATCCTTGAATATGCTCCTTTATAATGTATTACCATGTGCTGTCTAGTTTTAAAATCTGTAAACTGAAAATATTTTTCTCTTCACAAGCTGGTTTTCGGAAGACTTAATAGAGCCGTCCCGCTAAATTGAAATTATTGTTTCTAATGTAAGACAGGTACTTCTACTACACTAAAATACCGTTTAATATGATTATAGAAATTATGCATTGAAACATAACAACGGGCCTTTCTCATTTTACCTGTGCTGCGCGCGCCGCTTGTGGGTGACAGATAATTAAATTTGTCAATTGAATGAACGCGGTCTGACCCTGACCTTTTCAAGCTAACCCCAATTCAATAATCAATATGTACTGAAAATTATTACAAAAACTGTTTATTATACAATGGTTCAAATGTGTTGTGTGAGATCTTGTCAGAGTGAGACGAAAAAAAATCAAACCTTTCTTTTCACGAGTTCCCAAGCAATCAAATTGTGAAAAAACAATGGTTACATGCTCTCAACCTGACTGAAGTAGATTTAAGTTAGAACAGAGATTTGAGGGTTCGTAAAATAACGATTTCTATATCGAATACAAATAATTTTACAATCAAAGGTTTGCTGCAAATATTTTTGTCCAACGGATTTTTTGCAAATTTACCTAAAGTTTGTTTCACCAGGGTTTGTACTTGCCACCAGCATTTGCCTTCCTTGTTTAACAAATAAAAATTGACTGAAACAAATCAATAACGTCAAAAACGTTCGTCGGTTCTCAAACCAGAAGTCATTCATTTCAATTTGTCAAAAAAATTGAATTTGTCATATGAATTAATCTACGACAACCTTTTTTTTTCAAGTTTCAAGGTCAAGTATGAACCCTGGTGAAACGAACTTTACTTCTCAAACTTTCCCCTTACAAATTTGTCATATTTACAATTTACATTTAAAAATAAACAAAAAACAGGAACATAACCGAAATTGCACAATTTGACAAGTGGAACCAATCAAAGTCATTCCACACAGGTATCGCGCGTCATTATGTGTCTCTTTCTTGATTGTGTAGCAATTGCATTTCTCCTAAAAAAAAATCCGAAATAGACATCAATTAATTTTTTATTTACGACTAATGTATAATGTGCGTATTATATTTGTTATTTTGGCAGTATAATGACATATGTTATTCCTCCAGGGATTAATGACGAGTAGCGGGATTAATGGTCATTATTCCACAAAAGTGTCAGTGTCAAACGTGTAGTGCGTGTGGATTTGTATTGAAAATTATGAGACGGATGAAATTTGTTCATTGAAAATCTCAAATAAATTAATTTGTCGTAAATAAAGTAGAGTATACTACTCGCAATAATGGCTATTATTCCCTCGGAATGTTACTCCCTCGCCGCTAACGCGGCTCAGTTCGTAATAATCCTCGGGAATAATAGCTATCATTATTGACTCGTGGTATAATCTACTATTATGTATTCTTACCTAATTGGGTTAATAAAATTTGTATAAATGAAATGTATCATAAGAGATGAATTATTGTATTTCAATTTTCTTAGTAATTAAATTTAGTAAACAAGTTTTTGGGTTGTTCCAATCGAGTCGATCAGCTGTTCTCTACTTGTTCGGTACCTACTCCTCTTAATTTTGCGATCGATCACGATCCAACCACCGGTTGGAAAACGCTATTCGGAGGATTCGTTCGCAATTTTCGGACAGATGTCAAGTCATTTCAAAATTGAACTTAAAGTCAACCTGATTTTGGCCTTCACCACTCACCATCTAGATCTGGTCGATGGTGGATCGTTTTTTTTTTGAGTTCTCTTGCAAAGAAAAGTGATTTGAAATTTTCTTAAAGAAAAAATTGATAATTTGTTAAAATATCGGCTCTACCGATCGCCTTTGCCTGTCGTAGTGCTATTGAAGTTCATTTTTTCCTGATATTAACCAGGATGTTGCGGATTTTTCCAGATTATGTCGGTGAGTTTTTGTCAACCCTCATGGGTACACATTTTCACCTAAATATTTCCAGGAATGTTGGGCCGTGACATGGCGTTGCTTCCGTGTTGCTGATGGCAGAAGGCTCTTTAAATGAAAATTGTTGATATTGTTGATATTGTTGGTGTTGGGGCCTAATGAGGTAATTTATGCGAACTCAGCTGAGAGATTCGATTGTTGAACCTAAAACTTTGTTGCAGGGTTTTATATATGGTTTTAATCAAGGGTTTATTTGGATCTGCTAGAAGCATATAATGGTTATCCTTATGGGTGCAGGATGGAGGTGCTGAGCACATAACTTTTCGTTTAATTCGGTTTGGTTGGGTTTTGACGTGCTGAAAACACCTGGTGACTGATTGTCCATCTACTGATTGGCATGTGGAGCTAATTATGGGTCAATGGTATCTCCGTGGATGAACTGAGAATCCAGAACAACCAACTAGAAGTTTTCAAGTAACCAATTTAATGAACCAGTTTTTTTTTACAATAGACCTATCTCGCATGATTAGAAAAAGAGAGCTTAATTGTAATAAATACAGGTTAGAAAGCAATGAAAGATGACATGCGCGCGCAAATCGTAGGCTGCAGTGTAGCCAGATTGTATTGTTGCAGAACAAATTATGTAGACACAACAAATCGAATATTATAACATGAAAGAAGTGATATAGTGTCAAAGTGTTTTACAACGCCTTAAATCAGACAAAAGAAGAGCTTTAAAGTGGATGAACATCGTTTGCACTTTTATTTTGATAAATGTTTCATCCGGCAACATCGCTCAATGAAATTGCAAAGGAATATGTCAAGTATAATCTAACATAACCTTAAACGAAACTGCGGTGAGTTCAAGTAATATGTAAAGTATCAGTTTGCTCTTTGTCAAATTAAACACATTACAAAGAAAGAAGGAACGATTCATTCCGAACTGGCCCCTGAATAAGAATATGATGCAAGCCTGTCACAAACTTGCATCTCATTGGATGCTCACCTGCAGCTTACAAGCGACGTGTGCAGTCCAGGTAATAGGAGATAGGTCTATTATAATGATCAATAGTTTCCTTTTTTTTACAATAATTAACCTGTTTATAAACTTATAAATAATCTTGCTAGCTGTAAAGCTAATCTTGGTCATGTAAGTATTATTGGTATTGAATATTATGAAAGTGCAGTGTATAATCACCCTGGGGAAGGTTCATGAATCTTGCGTCTATGGTATTAACTAACAAACTTTAAAATTAAACATATAGAAATGTTTCAATATTACATTCCAAGAGCGGCTATTCAATTTCAAACAAAAATTTAAGTACCTTTTAAATACCTACTGGTTAATTTGATTTTTTTTATAAAATATAGTTTGAAACTAAGGTTGTAAATATTGGTAAAAATACCTATTATTGACTGTAACCAGTCCTTTAACCGTCAGCCGTCAACTCTCACCCGAAAGGGGTACTTGGGGAAAAATTTAATAAATATTAAATGGTATTTATTTGAATACTTGTATTTTATTGTTTTGCTGATTTTTGATTTCTATTCCAGAAAATGATCCATAGGTTATGTTTATAATTCTGATTCTATAAGTTTTTATTTCATTGAATATTCTAGTTTTGGTAATTCACTAGTTTATTTTTATAACAACATTTACAATTCAAATTACCTGGCGCCTAACGGACTTTATTTCTTTTATTTTTTTTTTGAAGTGTACAAAAGCAAAGGCCAAGAGCCAAAACCCACAGCCTCCGCAATATAGAAGTTAGCCGTAAGCTTTGTAGCGAAATATCGCTATAATTGCAGAAATCTTAATAAACTATCCTTGTTGTTCATTGCATGAGAAAGGTCCATTAACAAGATTGAATTTTTGCAATTATTTGAAATTGATGTTTTTGTGCCTTTATGACGTATTATGACTCCAGCCAATAAGAGAGGAACGAACATGTTCCATAACGACCTACACCCTGAAAAATAGGCAACCAGATATACTGACAGATTTCAATGTCATTAACGTGCCCAAAATTGGTTGATTTGTAGTTTTGACGACAGGTTGGGAAACTATAATACCATTGGTCAGA